CACTTACTTGATATATTTTTTCAGTTTTACACAAACCAATTCCTCTTTCAGAACTTTCGTTTTCTTTTTTTTCTGATTTTTGGTAACACTGAAACAACACCCAATATGTGTTATGATTCTGACTTACTCAAGTTTCACTCCACTCGTCACATCTCGTCTTCCTTGCATTTCATTTTCGAACACACGATGAACTCCATCAACGCCCAGAATAGTAAAAAGCTGTTTGTTTCGCCAGATATTTGATGGGCTGCCAAAGGGCTTCTTCGTGGAGGCGGGCGCTGTCGACGGCGAGTTCCTGTCCAACACGCTGGCGCTGGAGCGGGACCTGGGCTGGACGGGGCTGCTGGTGGAGGCCGACGGGGACATGTACCGCCACCTGCTGGGGAAGCATCGCAAAGCCTGGACCAGCCACGCGTGCCTGGCGCCGAGGCCCTTCCCCCACCGGGAGATCCTCATCAAGTACAGCGGGAACGCGGTCAGCATTCCTGGCACCAGCATGTACGCCCGAGGCCACGGCGTCCTCGCTTCTGCCGAGGCCCTGTCCCCTCTGAGGATGGCCGGCGGGGACATGGGCAACTCCGTCCCGCTGTACGAGTCGGTGCAGTGCCTCCCCCTGGCGTCTCTCCTCCTCGCCCTCAACATCTCCCACGTGCAGTTCGTGTCGCTGGACGTCGAGGGCGCCGAGCCGGCCATCCTCGACTCCTTCCCGTGGCAGGACATCGCGGTCGACGTCTGGCTGGTAGAGCACGTTGTGAACACCACGAACGGAGACACGAACGGTGAAAGCAAGGGCTCGCGAATCGACGACCTTGCCGTAGACGATGGTTCGAATGTCGAGGCGAGACGAAACGACAAAACAAACCAGGATGCTGCATTTGTTGATTTTTTCATCTCTCGCGGGTACAGTCTCTTCCCAATGGATACACGCACACTGTTAGATAATTACCTCTTTATAAGAAAAGACTCTAATATCTATTACAGACTTAAGGCTAATAATTATTTCGGTGGCGCTTAATTACCAGACAGAAAAAATACCAAATGTACAAAAAACTTGAGTGATATCGTCATTTTGTGTTTCAATTGATCTCCAAATCCAGTCATGTGTCATAATAAAGCTTTAACACCAATTATACTCGTCCCCCCCACCTATAAACACCAGCCGAAGCCTGTCAAGGAGAGAAATTGGTACTCTAAAATATAAATATACTCACAACTAACACTTATTAGACAGAATATCACTCATCATAATACCAAGGCTAGCTGCTTTGATTCGGATGGTGTGGGATTTTATTACGAAGCTTACACGTAGCAAAGCTTGATTGCCTGGGGAGGGGAACTGCATCAGAGCCCAGGCACATTGGACTAAGACATTGGAGAAGGGGGAGGAGTTGGAGGAGGAGTGGAGAAGGAGGAAGAGATACAGGAGGAGGTGGAGGAGGAGTAGAGAAGGGGGAGGATATACGGGAGGAGGTGGAGGAGGGGGAGGAGGTGGAGGAGGAGTGGAGAAGGGGGAGGAGATACGAGAGGAGGTGGAGGAGGAGTGGAGAAGGGGGAAGAGATACGGGAGGAGGTGGAGGAGGGGGAGGAGGTGGAGGAGGAGTGGAGAAGGGGGAGGAGATATGGGAGGAGGAGTGGAGAAGGGAAAGGAGAAATATGTCTGGAATCTGGCTAAAGAGGCTGAAGGGTAATTCTTTGACTAAGTTAGTTATTTTTGTTCTGTCTGTTGAGCTCTGAAAAAATTGAATGCCAAACCCTCCCCACATCACTGCAGGACTAAGTAAACCACCTCCAACACTGAGGGGGGATAAAACTCAGGTTTTATTAGTCAGCTTGGTCCTTGAGCCACCTCTAGCTGCCTAGTGTTCCATTTTGGATAAATCATATTTACACTCCCTGAAGCTGGGTGCATTTGGATGATGCTTTATCAGCATAATAATGATTAATAGATTCTAAGATGATTACACTACAGATCTTCTTAACAGCAAAAGCAATATGGTCAGGGAAAAGGACGCTTTGAAAGAGGAGGAGGTTATAAAGGGATAGCAGTTACCCAGACAATATACCTAGACCTGGCCAAAGTTCCTGCCAGATAAGATAGGGAGAGTGGAATCCCAGTTTATGACAGTGGGTATTTGTGGCATGCTCATGGAACTGCTGAAGTCTGGAAATAGATTCATAGATTGTATACTATCTTGGCTGCCCTTGAGCAGTCTTGTACCATTCCCCTTGGCCAGTTAAAAGATATGCTGACCACTGCAGAATCACACTTCTCACCTTACTGCTTGAATATTGGAGTCTGTGGGATGACCTCATCAGCTGAGGCTTGTCATGAGGAAGATGAGGGCCCTGCCAGGCAGCTCACCAAAAGGGTCCCTCACTGAAGAGAGTAGCAAAGCATTCTCCTATATGTTAGCACCAACTGACTAATTAAACACTCAAGTTTCTTCCACACTAGCAGAGCCAAAGATGAATTATCAGAGGGAAAATACAACACTCCAGAAAATATTTGAACTTTATTCAATTTTCTCATTAAAATGTACAAAAACACACTAGGCGACAGAAAGCACAACAGTATAAATAAATTGGAAAATATCTATCGGGCTGAAAGACTGGGATTACTTCTTGTGAAACTGGCTTGGAAACTTTGATAAAAAAAAATATTGAAAAATAATATTCAAAAATACTTATACAAATATACAGAACAACAATAACAAAAATCATAATGACACTAACAACAATAATAATAATAATATCAATAATCATAATTATAATAATCATAACTATATGAAAATAAGTATATCATAATCAAAAACACTTCTTATTGTTATCTGAAATTCAAATTCTCTCTATCTTGCATCTTCAACAAGGATATAAAATATCATAAAAATATTGTATTAAAGAATTCAAGTACAAAAGACAATTAACTTCAGAGTCATCACAACGTATTATTCATTATTTTATCTATTTCATTGTTTCAATCTCTCTCTTGTTAGAGTGCACTGACAAACATCCATGAAGTCAAAATTTCACCTAAACATACATGAATCATGTATATATATGCACACTTGCAAATCACTTATTGGAAGCAAGCCTTGCTACCAGCTGCTGGGCAAGCCGCAGGTACGTGAGGTCGACCTGGGCAGTGCAGCTGGTTCCCGAGGCTGTCGAACTGCTGCTTGGGAGAGGAGATGCCGCTGGACGCCTCCCTAGCCATCGGGTGAAGAAGGAATTCTGTGGAGAGACAAGAGAACAAAGAGGATGAAGGGAGGAGAGGGAGGAGATACAGGAGGAGGAGGTGGAGGAGGAGTGGAGAAGGAGGAGAAGATACGGGAGGAGGTGGAGGAGGAGTGGAGAAGGAGGAGGAGATACAGGAGGAGGTGGAGGAGGAGCGGAGAAGGAGGAGGAGATACGGGAGGAGGTGGAGGAGGAGTGGAGAAGGAGGAGGAGATACGGGAGGAGGTGGAGGAGGAGTGGAGAAGGGGGAGGAGATACGGGAGGAGTGGAGAAAGGGGAGGAGATACATGAGGAGGTGGAGGAGGAGTGGAGAAGGGGGAGGAGATACAGGAGGAGGTGGAGGAGGAGTGGAGAAGGGGGAGGAGATACAGGAGGAGGTGGAGGAGGAGTGGAGAAGGGGGAGGAGATACAGGAGGAGGTGGAGGAGGAGTGGAGAAGGGGGAGGTGATATGGGAGGATGAGGCAGAAGGAGGGGGAGGAAAGACAGGAGAAGGTGGAGAGGGAGAGGGAGAGGAACAGGAACAGGATGAGGAGGATGAGAAGATAAAGGAGCAGGAAAAGTGTGAGGAGTATATGCCTTAGTTAATTGCATTATGAGTAAACTTATATCTTACATGGGCTGATAATTTATCACTTCTTAATAAAATCATTTGAGAGATCTGTAAATAAGGACTATAGATCTATTCAATTCTACAAACTCAGGAGAAAAAAGAAAAGAAAAGATAAAACAAAGAATAAGAAAGATAAACTAGATGAAAAGAAAAAGAGAAAATATACTAATAGGAATAGTAATGTCAATACTTGCATAGAGGAAAATAAGAAGAAAAAAGATGAAGACTGGAAAGAGAGAAAAAAAAGAAAGAGGAGGAAGATATCAAGGGATAGCAGATATATAAGGGATAAAACAGAAGAGATGAAAAAAAAAAAAAAAAAAAAGTTCATGAAAAAGGAAAAATATAGAAGACAGTCATAGAGGTAGAAGAAGATAAAGAACAAAATCTGAAATCTTTTGCATGTGAGGAGTGGTGACCTACCATCTCATCAGCAAGGCCATGGCGCACACGCAGGCTATCCCTTGGGGGGGTTTCAGGTCGCATAAGGGCCAGAGTGGACTGGGTGAGCAGCAGCAGTAGCGCCTTTTCCGCAGTCACTGCTAATACTTGTACACACAGCCCAACCTCTGGCGCTCCCCCACGGCATGGCGACAGCCCTCGACTCTCCTGAAAGAATGGATTGGCATTTTAGGTTGGTGTACGGGAACAGAGAAGAAGCTAGAAAGGTAGTGGGAGGAAGAATGGGCTGAAGCAAGGGAGGTAGAGAAAGAAAATGGAAGAGAAGGGTGAAGAAAGTCAGAAATGGAGTGAGTGAATGGGCAAGTGAGTGGGCGTGGGGAAGGGAGGTAGGAGAGAGGAAGGGAGAGAGGACAAGTACTGATGAGTATGCAGTCAATACAATAACAATGACACACAAAAAAAGACAGGACATGAAAAAGAAAGGCAAGAGAAATAATAAAAGGAAGAAAAAAAGAAAGAGGAGGAAGATATCAAGGGATAGCAGATATATAAGGGATAAAACAGAAGAGATGAAAAAAATAAAAAGTTCATGAAAAAGGAAAAATATAGAAGACAGTCATAGAGGTAGAAGAAGATAAAGAACAAAATCTGAAATCTTTTGCATGTGAGGAGTGGTGACCTACCATCTCATCAGCAAGGCCATGGCGCACACGCAGGCTATCCCTTGGGGGGGTTTCAGGTCGCATAAGGGCC